ATACCTTTAATTTAATACCTTTCCTGAAGGCCATGAGGGAGGGGGCACACCGGACCTCAGGAGGCAGGATGTTCCATAGGGACATGTTCCACTTATGTGGAAGTGCCCTTTATCCCTGAGGCCAAATCCAAGGGTACAGTTGGGAGGGTAACCAATGGGATTCTTAGGAAGATTTAGCTTAACACTGTCACTGAAAACAGTGTCTTGGTGAGTTACAGCCCGTCAGGCTCTTTTTATATACAGTACGTGGGTAGAGAAAAGGAAATTTCTGCTCTTGCAGATGATCCTTGCTCTCTAGTTCTGTGCAGAAAAGTGGCACTGACTTGCAGAATTATACACAAGTATAGAAAGGAGCACCCAGATAAAGGGCATTTCCTTCTCTTCTAGAACAAGGTTCCCCAGCAGTACCAGCTATCTTTGACTCACACTTCCTTTTTCTGGCAGGTACAGAAGATTATCATTTGAACAGTGAATGCCACAGTGATGTGGTCTGCCCACCCAAGTGCCGCTGTGAAGCCAATGTAGTGGAATGTTCCAATCTGAGGCTGACAAAGATCCCAGAGCGCCTCCCACAGGCTACTGCTGAATTGTAAGACTTGAACTTGCCCTGTCCTTCTCTGAGCATCCATTCATTTTTCTCCCAATCCAAAATAGAATGCTCTTTCCTTCTTTGTCTTCCCTATGGCTTAGTCAAACAATGAGAGTTGCCAGGTGTCATCATTTTAAGGATGTTTTCTACCAATGTTTTTTAATAAGATAAAGTTGGGTGCAATACATAGTCTATGTGCAAGCTCTTCAGAGAACGCTGTGGAATTGCCCATGTCCTTCTCAGGAATTCCTCAAGACCTTCACTGTGCCACTCACTTCATTTTTTCTTGACTCTGAGATGTTTTGTGTATAAGGAAGCATGGATATTATATGTTCACCACACAATATAAGTTTTTGCTCTGCTTTGCTCTCAGGCTTGCACGTTTATTTTACTTTCTTTCCTCTGCAGACGCCTGAATAACAATGAAATCACAGTGGTGGAGGTGACAGGTATCTTCAAGAAACTCCCACACTTAAAAAAAATGTGAGTTATATGGATGAGGGTTTCTAGGAACAGAGGAAACATTCCTCCTTTCACAGGATTTTGGAGTAGGGCTTATAGTCCAGCAATATTTTAAAAACGATAAGGTGTGGCGGGGGGAGAGCTGTTAAAGGTCCTACAGGCATAAGTATAGATAGATATAAAGACTCTGCTGGATCCATCAAGCCAAGGACCTCTGCTATCTCCTTGCCTATGTGAAGTCCACAAGAAAGACACCCTCCTGTCCACATTCCCTAGCAAGTGATTTTAGGAGGCATATTGCTTTTGATAATTACAACTAGCCTTATTCTTCAGGAAATAGATGCAAATATGCTTAGACTCTCTGAGGCAGAAATCAATCTCTCAGTAATCTGTTTGAAGTTACAAAATTAGGCCTAAAGCTATGACAAATGTGCAGGTTGGGTGCAGAGGTAGTCTAGAGAAGAATTAAGAGCTGCTAAATAAAATACACAGGCAACACTGGATCTTTCAGAACTGTTCTTCTTTTGTTTCTGTTGAAGCAACAGAGCCTGGTAGGCTGTGAACTAAGATGCAACTGTTCTCTTCCTACTCTTGACTTCCTGCTCCTTGCTTTCCTAGAAATTTGAGTAACAACAAGGTCTCAGAGATTGAGGATGGGGCCTTTGAGGGAGCAGCCTCAGTGAGCGAGTTACACTTGACTGCTAACCAGCTAGAGTCAGTGCGCAGCGCCATGTTCCGGGGCTTGGATGGGCTGCGGACGCTGTAAGTCAGCCCTAACTGGGAATAGTAGGGTGGGAGCAGCATTATGCAGAATGCTGATGTATCTGGCAGTCAAGGAATAGTTAGTAAAAAAAGCTTTCTTCCCATCTTATCTTATCTCCCCAGGATGCTGAGGAACAACCGCATCAACTGCATTCATAATGACAGCTTCACTGGGCTGCGCAGCGTGCGCCTTCTCTCCTTGTATGACAATCAGATCAGCATTATTTCACCCGGGGCTTTTGATACATTGCAGTCACTCTCTACTCTGTGAGTTGTGAGGCAGGGAAATTTTAGTTAAAGCTAACAGATACACATCCATGGTCCTTTCTCCTGGATTTTATTTTATTTTATTTTTTTCCTTTCCAAACTATTCTCTGGTCTCAGAAATGTGCTACCATCATAAACTGGTCCAGATTCAGGGTGTTGCCATTTTAAATTTTGAATAGTTGTTGGGTGCAGCACTGCTGTCAGAGGGCTGTTTGCAAAGGGATACATCTCTGGAGCTGTGACTAAACAACAGGAAATTCTAGTTTGGGAGAATGGTCCTTTTCACTTTCAGCTGGGGGCCGTGTTGAAATGCCACAGTTGCTGAACTAGGTATTTATCATTATTACGGAAACATGGGATGTTGCTGAGAAATTATTTTGCATATTGCTAATATTTGATTTTAACTCGCCATTTTGTAAGTGTAATGAAGTCTCTTTATTGGGGAACAAAGCTATTAAAATACACAAGAATTATAATAAATGAGTATTTATACCATTTGCTTGAGTCAAAACAAAGTTTCATCTTATCTTCTAAGCATGATTGCTCACTCCTCTTTTACAGGAGCATGAGATACAAGAGTAACAATTTGCCTAAGGCAGTTTAATGAGTTTATGACTCAAAGGAGAGACTTGAGCAAGATGTCTTAACTTAGAGCTCCTTGATTCAGTTCATGACCTCCCCAGATGAAAGATGCTCTTCTGTAGCAATGTTGGGAAAGACGTAAGGGATAAGAACAGTTCTGCTGAATTGGACCAAAGCTCTATTTCACCAGCATCCTGTTCTCACAGTGGCCAATCAGAGGCTAACAGGAAGCTCACAGCCAGAACACAAGTGCTGTAGCATCCAACTACTTGTGTTCTCATTGCAGGAGGAGAGCTATGTTAGTCTATGGTGGACAAAAATCAAAAGGAGTCTCTTAGGTCCTTTTCAATCCATAAGCTTGATGAAGTTTAGCTACTCGATGCATCTCACAAAAGCTTACACTTCATAATAAAATTTGTTAGACTCAGAAGGTGTTACCAGACTCCTTCTGACTTGTGCTCCCAGCAATTGTTATCTATTATGTCCTTAGCAACCATGAGGAACCTTTATGAACAAGTTAAAAAAAACAAAAAACCACATGGGTTGGTAGCCAGTCTGAATGGTCTGCTGGTGGTCTATTCTTGAAACCTTGCAGACTTCATGGTAATCAATTGAGACCAGTTTTTCCTACCTTGGGGAGCTGCTGGTATTCCCTATAGAGGAGCCTTAGATGCCAATGGGATGGAACTCTTATAATCCCTGACTAGTACCCATGTTGCTTGAAATAAAATTATAAATGATAGTGTAACAATATCTGAACATCCATGTTTGGGAAAGGCTGGCAGTAGACAATACTAAATTGTTAATAGTTTAACTCAATATAATATAAAGTAGATTTATGTTATCACGAATATAGATTATGTGTTTACTAGATATGAGGAAGGGGATTGGGTTTAAAAGAGGAGAGGGAATTTAATTCTATCTGCAGGGCAGTTAAGATTTCCATCAACACTGGGAATATTTATCTTCTTACCACAACCTTTGAACCCAGGAACCTGCTGGCTAACCCCTTCAATTGCAATTGTCATCTGGCCTGGCTGGGTGATTGGCTTCGCAAGAGGAAGATTGTGACTGGGAATCCACGCTGCCATAATCCAGATTTTCTGCGCCAAATCCCACTGCAGGATGTTGCCTTCCCCGACTTCAGGTGTGAGGAAGGTAACTTACAGGCGCTCAGTGTTTGGGTAATAGCAAGGACAGCAAAAATGCAAGTTTTGCACAATGAGGTTTCTTGTATATGTGCACCAAATCTCCTTGTCTCTGCTAAAAGATCAGTGCAATCCAGATTAGTAAAGTGCCATGCTTAAATACGGTGCAAAGATCCAATTGACTTCTTTATCCTATTTCTGTATTCAACATTTTGTTGTAAATCTAAAATAGCAGAGGGCATTCACATAAACACATGCTGCAAAGTAATGGACTTCAGTAGAGCATGGGACTGTCTCATTCTACATTTCAACAAATCTTAATTTGCTTAGATTCTTATTTTTGAACTATATTTGTTCTGTCCCATTGCTGCATCATTTTGCAAATTTTGATGCACATTGGTCAATCCACCCATTTTTGCAAGCATTTTCCTCTAATAGAATGCATATGTCATGTCACTTTTACCGATATACACATTTTTGTGTGCTTTTTTTCTTCCTTCCTTTCCAGTTTTTTTAACCTGTCCCAGTTAGCAAACTATTTTTGTATGAATGTTTTATTTAGAAACTTACATCAGAAAAATCAGGGAAATGGTGAATATCAAATAATAACAACTGCATTCTTATCTGCAGCTAGGTTAGGAAAGCTTGAATTTTGTATTGAAATGATAACTAAATTAGTTTTTCCCTCACTTTTAACATGTCAGATCTTTAGTGGTCCAACTCTGACAAGTCATTCAAAAGGTGCAAAAGCAATTCACACTTGGCATTGACTGAAATGGGGACAGCATAAAAGGTTATTGTGAAAGGCACAAAAAACTGTATGTGTTATGAAATAAGGTGAGGAGTGGAGTGGAGTGGAGTGGAATCACGTGGGTGACCCCCTTCAAATTCCTTGGGCCACTTTGTTCAGAAATACTCTGAGAGCTGCAGTCTGCGGGGCAGTTGCTCAGTTTTCTGCCCTCCTCCCAGTCTTTGGATGGAAACTACCATGTTTCAGCGCTGACCTTAGCTATCTCAGTTACAAATGCATGGGCATGACCAACTGACCTAATATGATCCACACAACTTTGTGGCCTTTAGAAAGATACACTGAAACTAAGCATTGAAAAGTAGCAACAAAGTAGAGAAAACTGATCTAGTATCTTCAAGCCACAAATCAGCTGAAATGTTACCTTTGCCGAACACGCAGGGTGTCCTAATTATGTAATGCTTCCGATGTCCACTGATTTGAAGCACTGTTTTTTAAAGTTGATTAGTTGGTTAAGAACAAAGCAATTTAATCAGCTATGGTGTTTAACAATTCAAACTAAATAAGAATATCTTGATGCAAGAAATATTTTGAAGATATTTAATATAATACTGATTCACTAAAGGGATAAATCACGTGCACTTTGGCAAGCAATTTTATGCCATTGGCCTTGATCCAAATACAGTAGTTGCTTTCAGCATAGCCTTTGTGTGGAGGATGGGTAAGGATAGCTGCAACCCAGAAAAAATAAGTTAACTTAGCCTTTTGAGTGTACTTCACTGCCTTGAAACCCTCTTGTAAATCAATAGGAAGGCACAGTTTCAAAAGGGACCTTTCTATCACTTCCAATAAAAGCCTACATTGTTATCGGTAATGAATTAATCACATCAGTTGATTAACATCCTGAGTTCTACTTGTTCCTGGTGTTTCTGGCTCTTAAAGACCTGGACACCAATAGAAAACCCAGAATTCCCTGCAGAGATTTGGGACAATATTGACCTCTGGAGTCTCACATTGCATTCTTTTTGGCTTGTCCCTTGGCAGGTCAGGAGGAGACAATCTGCTTCCCACGCCCTCAGTGCCCCCAAGAGTGCACCTGCCTAGACACGGTAGTTCGTTGCAGCAATAAGCACCTGAAAAACCTCCCAAAAGGAATACCCAAGAACGTTACAGAGCTGTGAGTATGGATAAGCAGGATGTCAGCTAGAAGGGGCATTATGAGAACTGGCCCATTGTATCCCTGGACTAAAGGACTAGCACAATTTTTTTCAGGCTAACAACCACATTTGGTTTTGAGGTGGTGCCAGAGACTGCAGTCCCAAAAAATAGGACAAAAATGTGGGTGGAGCCAGTACAAAAACTAAACTGTATTTCAGATCACATTAAATTTATTAAAACCAGTTAATATGATTACTTTCCATGTATTTAAGTTTTCTCGGATCACATTAAAAATGACACATGTGACTAGCAAAGTTTGGAAGAGCTATTGGCGTTGTACCTTTCAGGGGCTGGATGGGTCTCAGGTGGTTCACTCTGGATTTGGAGAACCAAGTGAGATGCACCTCTTGAGCTGTACAGCATTTGCAGTTCTGCTGCCGTTTGTATGAATAAAGCAGTCCTTCTCAATCTTGACAACTTGAAGATGTGTGAACTCCCAGAATTCCCCAGCCAGCATCTTCAAATTGCCAAGGTTGAGAAACACTGGAATAAAGATTAAAAATACCTTTGGATGTTCAGCAACAATTGAACTTTTCTTTCTGTATGGGAAATGGATTTATTTGGGTATTATTGGGAATTTGTATTCTGCCTTATCATCCACAAATAGTGTATCTGTGGTATGCAGAAAGGGCCATAATTATCATTCCATTGCTCTCTAACGTTAATAAATGTTAATGAATAATCTGCACAGCAGTAACAGAGCAAGGCAGTATATCTTCAGATTAAACACTTTGTATATGAAGATCTTGAACTTTGTACTGGCTCCACCCACATTTTCAGTTGTAATATCTGATACATATTTTATTATTCTTGCAGCTATTTGGATGGTAACCAATTCATCCTTATCCCAGGACAACTCTCCACTTTCCGTTACCTGCAGCTGGTGTAAGTGTCTGAGAAGCCCTGAGAAGTTACTCATCAGATGAACCTACAGTGGTCTTTCCTGGAGATGGTAGAGATTAAATATATGGATCATAACACCCTCTAGGATTTTCTGAAAACTGCTAAGATCTTCACCATAATCTAGATCCATTTTCTCCAACTTCCTGACTCCAGATGAGTAGGTGACCTGGATTCCTTTGCTGCATATCTAGTTTGGACAAGGAATGAATAGGGAGAGACATAAGTTGTACATCAATGTGTTGTTAATTGATGTACTGCTACAGATTAAAGCCAGTGCAGAAGATAAGGGGGTATATAGGAAGTCTTCTGAAACACCTTGCCTTGAAAACTGTAAAGGACTCGTCCAAAAGCAGTCACTGCAGAGTCGGTAACGACTGAGTGCAGATATATATAAAAAAAGAAGCAGATGGCCATGTTTTTACTGAAATGCCAGTAAAGCTTCACATAGTTATGAACAAAAGTAGACCATAAGGCCAGGCTGCCCTGGACAACCCAGTGATTTATCTTTCACATTCTTTTTTCAATAACTAGCAAAAAGCAGTGTTTAATTAAAAGCATGGAATGGCATAGAACTATTTGTATATTCAAATAGAAAGGCATCAGAGAAGACCAAGAAATAATCAAGAGAGGTAGTCTCCTCTTATCTTCAGTATTCTGCATAAGAAAACATCTGAGGAGAGAAATAGAAATATTTTGCATTACATAAAATGATGCTTCAAGCAGAAGAATGGAAAAGTCTTAAGGAAAAATTAATTACTGGGAAACATTTTTAGATTCAGTTTTCTTAGTTATTTAGTCTTCTTAGTCATAGCACTCTCATAGAGCAAATAAAGTTACAAGAAAAACTCAGCTATTTTGAATAGGGTACAGCTAATAGAATGATGGATTGGCCAATTCTTCTTAAAATGCCTACTTGTCCAATATAAACAGAAATCAACTATACTAAGGTCCATTCATAGGAGACAATAAAAAAGCTAAGAAGGAAACAAAAAGATCAGAACATATCCTCTCCAGCAGCCAACACCCAGATAAGCAAGTTCCATCATCTTCGCCAACCATTCCTCCATTGTGG